CGAAACAAAGCAAAACGCGCTACACTTGATATGAATGAACTTTATTGCTCAACTGTACAAGGTACAATGTATGGCAGTAATACAACAATACTACAAAACTTTACTTACTACAAACTACTATCTAAACAGTATTTGAGTTACAATATGGTTATGTATTGATGATATGTTCTCGCTTATGGAATAAAGTGTACAGAAATTGGCCTATGTAAGGAGATATGGTAGTTGGACATGACAATAATTCATGGAATGTATCGTACTGTGTACCAGATTGGGTGAATTTTGTCTTAGTAGTAATAGTCTGTAACAATGAATCTCTTTCTTTTCTATAGGTGGGACAAGCCATAACAAAGTGAAATTTATCTTCAATATTCTCATTACATGTGGGACACAGTCTCTGAGTGGCTGGTGTGTTGTGGTGTCGACCTTTTTCGATTTGATAAGATTGGGGCGTCTTAGGATAACCGTTACGTTCTAGACTCTAATCGACGGATTCTAGAATTCGAAGAGGTTCTTCGAACAATGCCCAAGAGTTCAGAGAGAACCCCCACTCTGTCTACCGTGTGTACCGTCCTGCAGTAGCGTAGAGTTACCATTCTCCGCCCTTCCATTTTTTTTTTGTCCACAGTACCACCTTCGTGTATCCAGGTCGCCTGGGACACCCTCCTACCTCCGGCCAAATGGACGTGTCCATCTGATCACCATGACAACGGCCATGACATTGAAGACAAGGATTCGCCCGGCTCAAATGTAAACTGTGCCCTTGACCGCGACTCGAGTTCCATGGTCTCCAAGAAAGAAAATCAAGTCACAGAATACATGCCAGATGAAGGTGAGACATAGATAGAACTTTATTGACACAACAAAAGTACAGCGACTTTCGTAAGGTCTAAGACATGTAGATGTACAGACAAATATACATGGGTACAACAAAAATATCCTACGTACAGAACAATAGATGGGTCAACTAATACTGCTTGTTCTAAGGTCTAACATCTGTGTCCATAATATCACCAGGGCCCATAATATCACCACCTTGAGAAATAGTGTGCTTAAAGATATTTTTACTGCAACATACCCTAGGTATGTACATTTGATGTGAATGAGTGCATTCCAAAAGTATGTTGCAGTAAAAATATCTTTAAGCACACTGTTTCTCAAGGTGGATATTATGGACCCTGGTGATATTATGGACACAGATGTTAAACATTCTTTGATATATTTACCTATTTGTACACATGTACACATGTACAGTACTAGTAAGGGTTATTGCCTTCTTGGATGAACTCAAATTTATCTATAGCATGAAATGTAACAAATTCTGTTGAGCAAGCGGAGAGAAGGTTGAACAGCTTTGGCGTTTATCGTTATATAGTGTACAATTCAAAATAAAATGTTGTTCGTCATCAATATCATTGGGACAGAATGGCCAAAACCTCTGGTCGCGAGGGATTTTACACACATATGCTGATTGTTCTATCCAAAACACTAAACAGTGCTTTTAGCCAGACCCATTCAAGCTTAAGGTTCTGGATAGTCCACGCGTATCCAGAACCGTGCCTGGGGCACAATCTACGTTCATGGATACGCGGAGACTATCCAGAACCGTGCCTGACTCAAACGATAATACATTGAGGCATAAAACTAGATAGACACTAGTTCTGGATACACTAGTAAGTGTATGCACTTTGGAGTGGGTTGAGCTATTAGAAATCGCGTCGTCATCTATTGGTCAACAGCTGCAGAGTTTAGATCTAGACTTGCAAGTATCGTTTCTGTATGTCGCTTTGAAACGTTAGAGTGTTATGATATTTCAAAAAATTATCCTTTGAATAATGAAATGGTTCTTCCAGCTTTGCTGAAAGAGCTTGGGTACTCGGACAGCGAAGATGACGCTCCTGAATGGACCAACTGCCATCTCGTGAATCCAGAAGAAGCTACAGCAGAAGCCCCTCCTTCTGAGCCTACCTATACTGCAGCCCCACAGCCGACGGGACCAAACCCAGTGTACCTGTCCGTCCCCCCTGCACAGCGCCTGTACAGGCTCCTAAATAACCAAATGGCACGAATGGTATCGTCCAAGGCGTCATCCTCTCTCCTCCGCAGGCCGTCCTCCGAACCTATCCGGTCGGTCTGCTCGCATCCGCCCGCTAACTTCGTGGTCTCCCCGTCCTGCCCGTACTTTGGGCTGGTTCCGTCTCGCGTGGAGATAGAGCTAGAGCGGCGCGAGGCCAGACAAGCTCAACGGGAGCCAAGGATCGACCAAGTTTTCATGGACGAGCTGCACAACATGTGGACCGAGAGGAGGAAAACTCGACGCATGGTGGCGACGTTCGTCCAAAACGTGATTCACAGCGCCACGCAGCGACTAGAAGCAGAACTACAGGGCACGGAAGTTACTAATGATGTGGTTCACAAGCGGTGGACGGAGACAAGGAAAACTCAACACATGGTGGAGAGGTTCGTCCAAAACGTGATTGATGGCGCCACGCAGCGACTAGAAGCAGAACTGCAGGGCTCGGTAGTTACCAATGATGTGGTCCACAAGAGGTGGACGGAGACAAGGAAAACTCAACACATGGTGGAGGAGTTCATCAAAAACGTGATAAATAGCGCCACACAGCGACTAGAAGCAGAACTGCAGGGCGTTATTCAGCCACCGAGGGTTGAAGGGGAACTCTCCAGGGCAAGTACCCGTGAGGTTGACAAAAATGATACACAACATACCGATGTAGCCAGCTTACAAGTTACTAACGATGTAGGCATATCATCATCAGGAACTTCGACTGTGATTGGTTCGAAGATCGCCGCCATGCGACAACTGTTGGAACAGCAGATTGACAAAAGCCCCTTGCACGATGGTCCATCTCCCAACAGACGCACTGTCGCAACATTACCCTCTGAAAAGAATGCTCCTAGCACGACCGCAAAGCAAGCAAGCCAGAAAAAGGGTGCGAAAATGGTGTCACCAAGAATCATGGAAGCCATTGATCAACTGTCTGGAGAGACTGTGAAGAAAGTAGATGTCCCGTCTTCGAAAGACACTGCCATTGACATGACGAGGGAAGCTTTCAGACACCTACGTAACAGGATGAAGGAAAGGGCTACACATGAGGTGAAGTTGCAACGCGTGGAATCAAACGACAGGCACACCGAGAAGGTTCCAGAAGACAGATCAGTAGCAGACATCAGGAAGCAACTGGAAGCAAAAATGGCGGAGGAGGGCGACAAAACGTGTTCCGGCAAAGGAACACCAGTGCTGCCTTGCCCTGTCGGTAGAGAGGAGAAACATTCTGCTGGAGATTCGGCCGAATCATTCTCAGAAAGGAAAACTTATCTGGACAAGAAACTTGTACACGATACCTCGGAGGCCAAAGATGACAACAGGAGTCAAACCTTCACCAAGACCTCCTATGAGATTCTTGAGTCGCCTGCTAAGATTGCACCCGTACCATTCCCTAGATCCAGCCGATCGTTACCCGATACCCGAAGTCTGTCGGAAGAAGCACTCTCAACACCACAGGCAGCTACTCCTGTAGCTAACACATATTCTAGTGACGGTAGCTCAACTGTACGTCAAACTGTCCTCAAGCTTGAGCAAGACGCAGACAAGATGGTCGACCACAGGGAAGACATTGTCGTTCCTCGCAGGGAATCATCTCAGACTGCTGAGACGTTCCTGAAGCTTCGAACAACGCCGAGTGATTCCGAGAAAGATGGAAGGAAGAAGCTAAACGTGCAGCAACCAGAATTACCAGAAGGGCGTGTTCGGGACACGGTGGACAACATCGAGAAACTCTCCCATCAACATGAGCAGGGCAGCGGCAATGAAGAGAGCACTGCTCAACAGTCCTTGGATGCTAACGAAAGCGACTACCTTGCAGACAGCGCCGTATCCTCCTTAGCCACTCAAACCATTGTACGATTCAATTTATTTTACGTGTTGCTTGACAAAATCTACAGCTTGTGTATGAAAAGTAGTCAACTTTGTCACCAGCTATCTGCCCTAGTGTTCAACTTGGAGAATGATGCTCCGTGACGTATTGAAGAATACATGAAAAGGCATAAAACAAGCGTTGTGTTTTCAATGTTTGTGTTCTTTATTTAACCTTACCCAACAAGAATTCGTAGATCTCATACCTCCATAAAATGAGTTTTTTTAATGACATGTCCTCATTAATTATGCAAATGACCTCTACATTAACATAATATATGCATAGCGGTGTTAACCTGTAAGTGACTTACACATGTCACAAGGTATAAAATGCCCAACAAAATTTTCACATTAATTATGCAAATAAGGTCATCATTTGCATAATTGGTACCTGTTAATGTTCCGCCTGCCACAGATTAAATACATTACACGTATAGCAGTACTGTTATATAAAACACTGTAATTATAGAATCTCCTCATTAATTATGCAAATTAAGTCCTCATTCGAATAATTTGCATTTAATTATGTACTAAACATAAACAAAAACAATACCTCCATTTTTCATGAAGGTAATAATCATAGATTTCATAACTGATACGATGAGGACCGTTCAACTG